CATTATGGGGAACACAATGGAAAGTCCTCAAAAAACTAAAAATAGAAAAAGTAAACTAAAAACAGATGTATCATATGACCCAGATACCCCACCCCTTGGTATTTATCTGAATAAAATGACATAGCCATATGAAATAGATATTTGCACTCCCATGTTCATTGCAGCACTATTGATAATAGCCAGTATATACAATCAGTGTAGTTGTCCATTGGTGGATGAATGGGTAAGGAAAATGTGAGATATATATATATGTATATATATATATATGTATCATACATATATGTATACATGTGCACAATGGAATATTATTCAGTCATAAAAAAGAAAGGAATTCTGACATTTTCCATAAAATGAATAAAACTAGATCATTATGTTAATGAAGTAAATGAGATAAGAAAGATGAATACTATATGGTCTCTCATGTGAAAGTGTAAAAACATAGTCAGTCTGAACTTAGAACTGTAATCACTGTAGGTTCAGAAGGGCAAAGGGGAGGGCAATAGAGGGAGACTGGACAACAGCTATCAAAACATAGAATTAACAAGTTCTAGCATTCCATGGCAAATGGGGGCAACTATAGTTCATAACAACCTATTATATACTGTATACAGAACTGGAAGAGAGGGACTGATAGGCTCCAAGAAGAAAGAAAATACATGAAAATGGAAAGTCTAGTCGCTGGGTTAGATTGGTTTACATTGTATACTTATGTGTTGATATATTGCACTATAGCACATAGAATGCATAACTATTATATGTTAACAAAAATTTAAATAAAATAACCTAAGGGAAAAAAGGAAATACTCATCTGCCAATACTATTGATGTAGTACTTGTGATTTCTTGGCAAGGAATTCAAAGAAATTTGAAGTGATGAAGTAGTTATCAGAGCTAATGCTTGCTTCACTACTGAGGAAGGGCCTTGAATCCTTCTAACCTCAGTTTTCTCCTTTTCACAGTAAGTTGCCCAGTTTCTGGTCACTTTGCCTTTACCTAGGGATTTCTGAGCCACGACGCGTAAGTCCAGCCCTCAGCATGTTTGTCCCTGGGACTCTCCTCACGTCCTATGTCTGCTCTGTATCTCAGGATGTTCACTCCTTTCAGCTGCGTTTCCCGGGCCCATCTGTCAACCTGCTGTCCCAGCTAACCGGAAGGAGACACTGCTGGGAAACAGAGGGAAGAATCTAGCCATTCCTCCCCATCCTCTCTCCAGGAGCAGCTGGATCTCTTCTGCCTGTGACTCCAGCTCCCCCAACGAGACAGGCCAGCACTGCCCATCCCTGACCTTCAATAAACTGAGTTTGGCAGTAGCTTCCTGTTGTTGCAAATTTCTGAATCAGTGCACAAGTTACTGCTCTTGATTCAGACAGTGTTTAAATGTCCTCCAGGGTTGGATCCACTAGACCTCTTAGACCACATGGCTCTCCTGACTGCCCAGCTGGTCCTAAGTGCCTGAATTATATTGCTCAGATACATATCTGCATCTGTTCAAATTGTTTGGCTAAGACAAGGCTCTAGAACCTGCTCGACTCTGACCCTTCTGATTCCCTTCACTAAGCTTTCTGATCTTACGCTAGCTCCATTCATCTCTCATCATTCATTCTTGTCCTGTGTGTCCATTTAGCTACTCACAAAAATTATGGAGTCGATATTCTGACTGTTGACACTTGCTGAACCACAGCACAAAACTACTCTGTGATGATCTCTAAGCTCTCATTTAAGATTTTTCTTTGAACAGATTTTCAGATATAGGCATCATTAAAATTTACATTTTTATGTTGCAAGAAGATGGAAAATAATGCATATTTCCTGCATGGTTGGTCATCCCTTCCCTGTATTCTCTTTGGTAATATCCAATGAGATGCAATGACAGAAAAGAAAATGCTTAAAATAGTTACAAATAGTAACTGCTTGAAGGGCATGAAATCTATGATGACCTTGTAATAAAATACCTTAATATAGTCAAGCTAACTTGTTTCTACAAATTCTTCCATTGTAGGCAAAAGTGGCATAATCCCTAAAGCAGTGGAATGGTAAATAATAATATCAATACAGCATTTAAGAACCTATTAATTACTTTATGCTATTAAAAAACAGTAAATATATATTATTGCTGACTATTCCAGGCTTACATTTTCTGAGTATTGTTTTTTTTTTCAAGATTTATTAAATTATTTTGAAAGTTAAAGTTATCAGGGGCTGTGAGGGGCGGGGGGGACAAAGAGAGTGAAAAATGTTCCATTTGTTGGTTCACTCCCCAGATGGCCTCAATGGCCGGTGTTGGGCCAGTCTGAAGCCAGGAGCTTCAACTGGGTCTCCCAACTGAGTGGCAGGAGCCCAAGCACCTGGGCCATCTTCCACTGCCTTGCCAGGATACCAGCAGGGAGCCAGAACAGAAGTGGAATGGCAGGGACATGAACTGGAACCCACATGGATACCAGTAATGCAAGCAGCAGCTTTACGTACTATGCCACATTCCGGCACTCTGAGTATTAGTTTTAATTGAACCTCAGCACTGATTCACATGTTATTCTCTTTCCCAGCTTACACTGAATTGGCTTAATTCAGGATCTTTATTGGCAGATTTAATTTCCACTCAGCCCTATCCCAATTCACAAATTGCTCTTAAATTAGATAAGAAACAATAAGCAAGCTAAGCACTGGCATTCTTCCTGTAATCACCTACCACCCAAACTGTTGTATTCGTCACACATTTTCCCATGGTCTATTCAAGGATGTCATGTGTCCTTATATTCCCTATCAGTGAGTGTTCCATCTCCCTCCTCAGTCTACATTATGGCAGTCGGTCCATTTCCAGGGTATTTAGAAAGCATAGCTGACTGCTGCTTCTAGCATCGTCAGGATCTTTCTCATCTTCATCATGACCTCAATAATATATTTCACAGAGTAAATTCTCATTCTACAATCAATCTTTCAACCTATTCACTGCAATATATCTACATGTAAGACATGTTAATCCTTGTACAATCAAGGATCCGAGTCTAGATATCAAATACGTACTTGCTTGTTCTTCTATGTATTAACTGGTCCTTCTCCTAAGTCTTCAGGATCTATGAGATTCTTCCTCTAAAATTCACATATCCTGTCTTGTTGCTATCAATGCCCAGAATAGCAATATTGAGAGAACAGGGCATGAGCCAATTTAGCATCTTACATTTTATCTTCTTATCCTACAAAAGATTTTTTTCTAAGAAAGTTAAAAAATTTAAAAACTCATTGATATTATTCTAATATATTGTTATAGATTCTAAGCAACTGTCTCTTTTATAGACAACATAATTACAAGTGAATCACAATGAGACTTTATGATTCCAGATAAAACTCTGTGCCAGTCATTAAAAATTGATTATACACATTAGACATAAGAAAAAATAAATATGCTACATGATTTGAACCATCAAAATAAATGAGGAGCAACAATTTCAAATAATTTATGTTTATCTAAAATTATCATAAAACCTAAAACATTTTCTAAAAATTCATCATGGGAAAAATTCTTACCCTTATTTTTCATATACACATAGGTCATTCTTTCTCTAATTTCATTACTTCATTCTACTCCATAACCTTTTGAAGGTATTTTGCAAGCATGAGAGATGGCAATGGGTTCCATGTTTTAGTTGACTAAATATTAGTCTTAAAACATGATAATTAAGCTCAAAAATATTTAATTGTAGAGTTTTGATTTTTAAAGAATCCAATCAAGTGACTATAAATTTATTTGAAGCAAATTGAAATATCAACATCATTGTAAGCCTGCCCAAGCGAGCAGATCTTAAGAAAATGTCATGCAAGACTGCTACATCTTCTTCTCCACACTTGGGAGACCCATTTGCTGCTGAGGGTTTTATCTGAGGTTTTGGAATGCTGAAGGATTGGGTTACATTACAAAAAGGAGCTTGTTGAATGCATGTCTATGAGGGTCCATTCTTTCTGGTCTTGGCTGCCATTCAGATCTTATTCTCTAGTGAAGAGTGAAGGGGCAGAATCATGAAAGTTGGAATCCTGCACTTCCATGGGCAAGCACATGAAGAAGCAGAGGAAATGAAATGAAAGGAATAAAATTGTTCTTGCGCAAGAACACCCTGGAGAACAGGGAAGAAAGGATCCCAGCAAGCAAACAAATAGCATTTCAAATAGGAAATAAGCAAAAACTCAAAAACGTAAGGTATTATGTGAGAGAAAATGATATAATTTAGCACAGTACCCTAAGAATTTGAATTTGGTATTTACGGGAGAAGGTAAGCACAGAAAAGAAATCGTTACCAGGCAGCCTACAGATCATCCAGGGGCACCAGCAAAACCCTTTGCCCTCTTCAGCCCTGGCACACCGCACAGAGAAAAGGACAGAGGTAAACCATTAAGGTATACTGTATATAAGACTTACACTTCCACGAAGATTCTCACACTGTTTCTGGATTTGAGACATGGAGATAATGTCCCACTATGATTTTCATTTTAGAATCAACCTGAAATAATGTCGTCATTGAAATATCCACTTTTGCTCATCAACTTCATACAAAATCTCACAAAGTTATCAGTGGCCTGCCCAAAGCTTCCTAACCGCAAAGTTCCCAGTGCTCTAACAAAGTAACGCACATTATTAAAGGCAGATACGATATCAAGGAAACAGAGAAGCACAGCACCACGACCTCTATTCTCTCTTCCACCTTGAAATATACATCAAGAAAGACTGATGGTTGAACACTCTGGAGGACATATTAAGTGTTCACTACTTAAGGAATGGCCTCTATGGTAAGGGTTTTTGCACTAAATCATCCCCTCGCATAGGAAGTCCTGAAAAAGAATGCATGGGAAGCATAGGTTGAAGGAGACATCTCTTAGTGGGACAAATGCTAGCCTCTGACTTAGGAGTTCTATAGAAGCCCTTTGGGTTTTCTTTCTGGTCTAGTCCTATTCAGCTTGCAACCAAAGCTAGGAGGTGGCTGTGGAAGTAAAGGCAAACCTGGCTGTGCTTACCGCTTCCACTTCGGCGGGGTCATACCAGACGTTGATGTAAGGATGCTGTAAGGCGTCATCCACCGATATCCTCTTTGCTGGGTCAATCACTAGCATCTTTGACAACAAGTCCCTGGCTTGGCTGGCTGGAACAATGAATGAGAAAAAATTAATGAGTAGCGTTTTTATTACTGTGAGGAAGGTTGTTGGACAGAGAGGAAAGTAAGAATACAAAGAAACAAATATTGTAGTCCTTAACCCGCTGTGCCAGTGTTGATCCCTCTTCTCTTTCTGCCTCTCTTCTCTCTCTGTAACTCTGCCTTTCAAATAAATAAAATCTTTACACACACACACACACACACACACACACTGTAGTGTTCTATCTCATGAATACATATGTATGATAAGCTTTAATTTATCCATCAGGCACAATAAGGGAAACTCACTAATGGCTTCTTTCTGAAGTTTTCCATTTACTTTTGTGGTACCATCTAAAACCATGGAAAAGAGAAGCTCCAGATAAGGGACAACCACTGTAGTGCTTTCCTTTCAAACGTTAAGTCAATTTCTTGATGTTCTGGGAAAGGAAATTCATTTTGCATGTCTCCCTGCATGTGTCTAAGCCTTGGGCTTCATGTGGGGCTCTTTGATGGTTATAATGCTGTGTATATGGAATAATTTATTCAAATTTCTAAGTAAATTTTATCAGCACCAGAAGTTTGTATAAGCAGAGTAATCTTGTGTAACCTGTATGAATGCAGGATAACAGGATAAAGCGCATGAGCAATGCAAATGCATGATGTCTGACAAATGCATGGATGACTGTTTGCAGCTAGCCATCATTCATACAATGGAATGAACTGAATTTGAGTATCCAAATTGACTTAAGAAATCATACAGTCCAAATTTCTTATATGATCAAAAACAATCTGAGGAATAGATGTGGTAGAAATATATCACCCAATGACTGAATTTTATTATAATATTCTGTAATCATCAGACATTTTTAAATCACTGAAATAATGATTTGATTAATGGCAAAAGCCATCCCAATGCCATGCCAGATAGAGATAAAAAACTATTTTGTACCCATTGTCATTATTAAATTTATAGTTGTGGGCGATGTCAGTTATAAATTTATATATGATAATCAGTAAGTATATCTAATAACACCTTTAAAATCATTAATTTTTGATCTCTAACATTATATGTAGTTTTATAAAATATAATTTTAATAGGTAAAATAAATATATTAAACCGACATTATTATCCAATTGAGTTAAAAGTTTAAGTGAAAACACTTAGTTTGTTCCAAACACATTGTAAAACTTCAAAGTAAATATAAGATCTAAACTGATTTAAGAAAGTCAATATGTTTACATCCATTGACATATAACAATATTTATTTTTTTCCAAATTAAGGAAAAATGAGTAAATTGTACAAATATGAAAATTACATAAAACACAAAGAAATATTAATTATTTCCCTAGCTAAACAATCCATGTATATTGGCATATATTTTTCTAATGCTGTTCACATATTTTTCACATAATTTTAACTATTTTATTATTTTAATCTATTATTCACCTATTCTTTAATATATTTTCTGATAATTTTATATTTTAACAAATATAATTCTCAATATTATATTCTAATATGGAAAATCACTAGCTAAATTAGATGTAAAGAAATTTCATTTCTACTAACCATTATTGTTGGCAATAATCTTGGGATCTGATTATCATTACAGTCACTAAAACTGTGAGGCTCACAGAATGACCAAAATATAGAAATACTTGTATGTTAATTTTCAATATTTAATCTTCCTGATTGTCAATAACCCATCAAGGATTTATTTCTTTCATTGATTCATAGATCTCTGATTTCTAACTGATTTTCTCTACAGTCTTATGTATCCTACTCCCACAGATTCTCCCATAAAACCCATCAATGTTCCTGCTCTTAGAAAGGGGAGGGGCCAGAAAGAACTCCTCCTCAGTAGGGGCACGAAGTATCCCAATAGCAAGTCATCTCACTCAGAAATAGTGCCCAACACCATTCAGAGGAAACAAATGACAGAAATGTTTCAATGCCTCTCATTCTTTTGTTGGCAAGCATTTTCCAAATATAATTGAACAAATCATTCCCTTTAATTATTTGTATATTCTTTATAACTTGTTACTTTTATATTAAAAATAAAACTAAATAGTCATAAAAATGTAAAATAGTTTAGTATATAAAACACTAGTTTACAAAACTAAAATAACTGTAGAGGTTCAAACTGAGTTGAAAATAAACTATAGAAACTTGGAATTACATTATGAAGCATGATATTTGAGTTAAGAGTTTTTCTATAAGTGTTGGCATAACTATGTTATAATTAAATGAGGAGTTTGCTGGATCCATATTGTTTTTTGTTTTTCTTTTTTTTGACAGGCAGAGTGGACAGTGAGAGAGAGAGACAGAGAGAAAGGTCTTCCTTTGCCGTTGGATCACTCTCCAATGGCCGCTGCGGCCAGCACACCGCGCTGATCCGATGGCAGGAGCCAGGTACTTATCCTGGTCTCCCATGGGGTGCAGGGCCCAAGGACTTGGGCCATCCTCCACTGCACTCCCTGGCCACAGCAGAGAGCTGGCCTGAAGAGGGGCAACCGGGACAGAATCCGGCGCCCCGACCGGGACTAGAACCTGGTGTGCTGGCGCCGCAAGGTGGAGGATTAGCCTATTGAGCCGCCGCACCGGCCTTGAATCCCTATTGTTATTGCAAGTGTTTTTATAAGAAAGGATAACTTTTGGATAATATCTCAGTATTGTGAAGCCATAAATTCTAAAAGATCTCTATTTGAAGTATTAGGTCTTTTTCAAGCTGCATATAGGAAAAAGTTTATCTTAAAAAAAAAAAAAAAAACAGATGTGGTAATAATTTAGTTCATTGCCATTAAGAGACCGTAGTGTCAACTGTAGTAGAAAATTCAATTATGTAATTTAAGCTACAAGAAAATAGAAACAAAGTTGCATATTTAAAACCCAGCAGGTAAAAGTTTAGAGGAGACAAAAAGATCCTAGAAAATAGTAGTACCACATTTTAGCTTTTCTGTCTTATTTTAGCCTAACGTAGCTATTTATTTAAATTTGTAAGTTAAATCTGTAGATAATTACACACTGAACATTTGCTTTTAAATTTCAAAGTATATATCCTCTTATTTTTAATAATTTGTAGATATATTGTTAAAATATTATATTACATATTATATTTAATAGGGATTGAGCGTTTGCCATCATCTAGGTATTATTCTAAGTGTTTGACAAGCTATTATGTCAATCAATCCTGTGAACAACCCTATATGGTAGGAACTGCATACCTTCATTTGTTAAAAGAAGTGAGGATCAGGAAACTTGCCCAGAGTCCCACATATTTTAAGGAATAAAGGCATAATTTAAACCAGGCAGGGGAATAAAATATGATTCTTTCAAAATCATATTCTCAGGAGTATCTAAAGTATAAGAATTAGAATATTTCTGTATTATACTCCAGCTGCTGTTAAATTTATTCCTGGTCTGCAAATGAAACTGCAACATTCTTAGATCCATTTTGTGTGTGAAGGTGTGGATCAAGATTTGTTGTCCAATTAGATAACTGCTGACACAGTAGGAAAAAAATCACTAATAAAACTGTTTATATTGAATAAAAATGTACAGTTGAAATCTCAATTACTACTCTAAACTGAAAAAAATAGAGGGTAAGCACTATACAAAACACAACAAAAGAAAATCAGACATCTGCCTCTAAGGTTTCATAACTAATAACTATTTTGAAAATCTTTCCCAGATAATAAAAGGTAAGAACATTGATTTCAATATATATTGATCACATAGAGTTACACTTGAGATACTAAATTTAAGATTTTAAATACACCAGGAAATAGTTAACACACAGCACTGGGACATATTTTATTCTTATTTTTCCCTCTGAATATCCCAACAATTCTAAAGTTCTTGGCTACAACCCAACCCTTTGTAAGAAGATATTTTAGGAAATGACTCTCCCTAATGTGAGCATAGTTCTAGCTGAAGAAAAGTCTTCATATCAACAGGCTTGCTTAGCTGGTCACTCCCACAGCGGCCCTCTGCCACCCAGACCGGCATACCTTTGAGCTTATTGTGCTCGGAGTCTGCTGGGAAGAGGGAATCTGGAAAGAGCTTGGGGAAGGTGAGTCCCGCATACTTGGGCCGGTTCTCCACATAGTTTCTTACTGTAGGCTGCAATTTCTTCATGAATTCTGGACACGGCGTTCCTAGTTGCTCAATGACTTTGTTCCACTGGTCGATATCTGAGAATTGAATAGTTAAGGGAAAACAGAAGTGCAGACCACTAGCTCATGCTTTCCAATAATAAGAGGCTAACTCTTCAGAATCCTGGGCAGCCATCAGTACAATTGGGATTTTAATAAAGCAAAAAGAGACAAAACTGTGAAACAGAATTGTCAGGGCAATGCATCCTCCCTAGATTTCAAATTCTGTTTTCGAACTCAGAAGTTTTCAGGGAGCTAATATTATTTAACAAAACAGGATACCATGAAACAATCTTTGATTGGTAAAGCTAACATGTTATTTAAATAACACAAGAAGAATCTCTTACAAAAGGATAAACACCAATATAATCATGTGATTTAGAAAAAATATATAATCCCATGATAGTGACATTTTATCTCCTGAAGATACTTCAGTCACTTATACATTTAAAATGGCAAGTACACATCTATTAAAAATGATAATCATTTATTGTCTTCCTAGATTATTTTTGAGAATATTTTCTCTTCTCCAAAACCCAAGAAATTTATCATCTGTTAATGAGTTCTGCTCATATGCCTTACACATGGGGTCAATAAAATTTTTTTATAGTAAAAGAACTCATTAATTCTTCATCAAAGATTTAGAAATTTATACTATTCATACAAGGAAGTCACCATTGCATACCTACTGTTCTTACTTCTGAATATGTTTCCAATCACATATGAGGGTAGACAGAGAGGTGCTTCATTTAAGAGAGCGAATTCCACCCAAAGACATCCAAATTCAGAGAGTATGGTAACTATGAGGAATTCTATATGAAACATGCCAGCTCTCTATGAAAAATTATACCCTCAAAAATTAGAGGGTAAATGTTGACAGACATACCCACTGATTGAGATTCTATTTTTTACGCCTCATTAATAGTTCATGTATCAGAGCATCGAAAATAAGAAACACTGCCCCTGAATACTTTGAAGGACCAGCTGGAAGCTATTGATTTTAGACAGATTACCTTGTCATGTATCATGAATGACAGAGACCTTGGAAATTCTTTTTAAATCAATATCACAAGGAGTGTTCTCTACTACATTTTTATTCTTTATGCTTTAACATTAAGCTGATTAATTTAATGCAATATATGATAGCTTCAGGACCCTTACCCTAAGATTACTAATTGTGGTTTGTAAAGTCTTTACTCATAGCTATTCGAGTGAGTTAGACTATAAAAGATTAGCAACCTTATTGAAAAGACAAAATTAACTACATTCAACAAAAACTAATATATAATGCACAGACAGTATGTAGGAGATTGAGCAAACATAAAATCAAGTTAATTTGCAAATCCTCTTCTACCTCCATTATATGGGCTGAATAAAATTTATATTACTACATATCCTCTCAGTTTCTGGCTTGAAAAATACCTTTGACTATGGACTATCAAAAAATAAAATGGGGGAGGTAAAAACTGAAGAACAGTCCTTTATAAAAAAGTAGAGATAAGGAAACCAGAATATCCTTCAATAAAAGTTTATCTAAATTACTATGTGATTAGAAAATAGGAGTAGATCAGAATCAATACAGATAAAGAAACTAAAACATTATGTAGAGTTAGAGTTACAGTTACCCTTGAACAAAAAACTCATATTGATACTATGGATACAGGTAAGTTATAACTACTTAGATATATTTAAATAGAATGCATTAGTGTAGTTAAATAAAACTCAAGTGCCTGCCATTCAAATTATGAAAAGAGAGCTCTTCTCTATTACTGTTAGGTTACCATGCCCTACCAAACCATTGTCTAACCACTGGTCAAACTTCCTCAGAATTCTAAAGACTTGATGACAAATTTAGATTGGAGAAAAGGAGTTGTCAGGTTTTCTATGAGGAAGTTGTTGAACAAAGTTGGCAAAATAGTACCAAATATTCTAGTTTAATTTAGCTGGAATTACAAAGTTGTTCAATAAAGAATTAGCTGATTTGACATAGTATTCCCAAAACACTTGTATGATATTTTTACATTAAAGTTTAAGAAAATCAGAGATTTTGTTAAGGAAGAACAGTTAAAATATTTCTTGTTATCAGTCATAATTAGGGTCTTGGGAAGCACTAGATTACCGTAAATTGTTTTTAAATGAACATTATTGTGGTGTCAGATGAAATGCTTTACCAGAGGGAGGTGAGGCTCTTCATTATTGACAGTGAAATAGTAATATGCCCACCCTACAGATGGGAGGTATAACCATCTTTAAAGGTATGTTCCTGGGGCTGGTGCGTGGCACAGTGGGTTAGGCCATGTGAGCATAGGTTCAAGGCCTGGCTGCTCCACTTCCAATCCAACTGGCTGCTAAAATGCCTGGAAAACCAGCAGAAGATGGCCCAAGTGTTTGAGCCCCTGCCCCAACATGTGGGACCTGGATGGAGCTCCTGGCTCCTGGCGTTGTCTTGGCCAGGTCTTGGCCATTGCAGCTATTTGGAAAGCGAACTGCAGATGGAAGACCTCCCCTTCTCTGTCTCTGCCTCTCTCTCTCTAACTCTGCCTTTCAGATAAACAAATCATTTTTTAAAAGTTGTAAAAACTTTATTTTAATCATTTAATCCTTTTTAAAAATCAGCCATTTCAAGCTCTTTCTTCCCATAAACATGGATCTGTTCAAGGGGTTAAGTACTTGCTTTCCAGATGTTTATAGGATCTTAACACGAGCTCAGCTGGGCACATGAATTTGATTGTTAAATATAATTAACCAAATGTAAGCCAAAACTGGATGCCATATCTTCTGAATCTAGTCCAGTGCTTGTTCCAAATATAACACTTTTTAAGGAAAGGAACAATTTGGGAATTGATGTGGTAAAAAAAAAAGTGCTTTAATAAGGTCATAAAATTGATGGTATGCTTTGTTCTACCAAGGAAATTCCCTTTAAGAATGTCTCTGAAGTGCCATCTCTGTTCTTTCAGGTCAGCATAGTCAAGTAAAATAATTAATTTTATTAATATTTAAGTAAAAAAAAGCAGATACATTTTAAATGACAGATTGTCAGATTTCTACTTTTTAAAATTCTTAAAATGCTAACTAGGTTTTATGCTTCTCTGTCAAATGTTACCATGGTAAATATACTTTTAAAAGAATGGCCAAAATTATTTTTTCAAAAGGATTTATCTGTTTTAGAACACTCATTAGTCATCACTTCTATACTGAATAAAGTAAGGGTCTGAATATTTACAGATTCCAGACCTGTGCAGTTATTGAAAAAGCAATAGATACCTTTTTATGTACTGCTTCAGAAAGTATCATCCTTAGCATAAATAACTAAAAGCATTGAATACAAATGGAAAAATGACATTTAATAAAAAATAATTTCACAATAAATATCCTGATCCAATTCTAAATTTACTGCAATTAAACCAGAATTAGTTTGTAAAATATTTGATGAGTATGGCAATATTCAAATGTGATTATCAGTACCTCTCCACTGAGGTAACAAACTACAGTCCCAAATATTTATTTCTGGTTTACGACAATAGTTGTAACAGAAGAATAAAACAAAGTACGTATGGATAGTAAAAATAAGTGTCAGATATCCTAAGGCTGAAAATTATTCCACTTAGTATTATCAATTAGCTAAGAACTTGCATTTGTAACTCTTCTGTTACATTAGCTGAGGAACTTTTTAAAATATATCAAACAATGCCTTGAACATAATGTGTGAGAAATATATTTTCTTCTGGGTGTTTTGGTTATAATTATGAATATAATGTATATTATACACATTTAAACCTTCAGACACTACTAAGAGGAATTATAAAGAGCTATTTAATGAGCTTACTCTTTGTATCTTTTGAATAATGGTATCTTCTCTTTATGTTTTCTTCCTTCATTGACAGTTTCTCATTACTATGAATCTGGGTTCAAGAGCTGACACTCTTATGGTTTCTGATTTGCCTTCTACTATTCTCTAGGCCTTACATGCAATCTTTTTGCAAATTCAAAGAAAGTCAAGGAAATACCAGAAATAAATATTTGGGACTGTAGTTAGTTACCTCAGTGGAGAGAAGGGAAGATGTGGCTAGGGTTAAGCACAGAAAAAAGACTTGAAGATATTGATTGGTAATAGTGTATTTTTAACCTATGTGGTAATATATAGGCTTTCATTTTATTAATCATCTCTAACAGCTACATATGTAGTGTTAACCCTCCTGTATGATAAATGTTTCATAATTTTAAAAATAAAAATGGCAGCTATAATGAAATTCATTACAGTTGAATTATAATTCAATTGTAGACAGTTAAAAACATATTTGGTTGGGTAAATTCTATAGATGTATATTTAAAAGTATATCTACTCTTACAGAACATGTAAATATATAAAATTGTTAGCACTGTATTTCTATATAAATTATTTACTTTATACTATATATGTACATATGAAACATATTAAAAATTATAACAGTAAGTAAAATTCTTTAGGCATAAAGGTAAAGAATATAAGATCAATTAATACTTTAAACTTCACTGTTTAGTTAGTTTATATATTAGGAAAATATGAATATTTTATACCTGTAAGGACTTTTATAGATGATTTACATTGATAATGTCTTCATATAAATGAGGATGCCTATTAAAATAATATATAACAATATATTATATAGATGTATATTATGCACATTGTATATCTCTAGCTCTATTTTTAAAAATCAATTTTTTATTGACTTGAAAGGCAGAGTTATATGAAAGGGGGAGAGACACAGAGAGAGATCTTCCATCCACTGACTGACTCCCCAATGGCCATAATGGCTGGAACCTGGACCAGTCCAAAGCCAGGAGGCTGGTACCCCATCTGGGTTTCCCGCATGCGTGGAAGGAACTAAACTCCTGGGACATTTTCTGCTGCCTTAACAGGTGCGTTAGCAGGGAGGTGGATCACAAGCAAGCAGCCGACACTCAAACCAGCGCTCACATGTGATGCCACAGTGTTGGCTCCCTTCAGCCCTATTTTTAAAGTTTCTATTTAACCCATAGATTTAGATATAATATTATTGGCTTCAGACAAGTCACTTTTAATAACAGAGAATTTGTATTTATTTAGTCATTTTTAAATTTACTAACATAATTATTATACAAATTGATGGGATACAATGTCCTACTTTGGTGGAAATTTTTTTTAAGTTAGCAATCTGTCTTGTATTTTAAGAGGTTAACTTTATGATACTCACTGTTCATAATTTGTTTTCTTAAAAAGGACTGGCTTGAAGTTTATTCAACATGTTTGAGATAGTTTTTTTTTTTTTTTTAAAGTCTACGCTCAGAAGATATACGTTGGAAATTTCTTCCCATTTGCTGTCTAAGAATTTTACAAACGCGTCTCCACAGTAGAGCTTCAGAAAAAACTCAGTATCCACACACCAAGGCTTCTATTGCATGATCCTGTGACATCACCCACAGCCTCAGACACCACTCACAAGGAATTCTGAAATCCAAGTTAAAACATGACGCGCAACCAACTTCTCCTGAGATAATTCTAAAAATTATTCTGTTTTGATTTTCTTTAATAGACCATATGGAAAGTAATGAAAATCATCTTTTAATTTACAGGTAGCCAATGTTCATCTCAGTCATCAGTTATTCAACCCTAGGAAGTTCTGGAAAAGCAGAGTACAAAGTTAACAGATTGATCGTATTTTCATAAAATTATCTAAAATTGGCCAAAATCTAGAGGCCATTTCATATTTGTGCCCAAAGACCAAACACAAGTTTATAAATCACAGGGAATAAAAGAGATCCTGTAGTCTTAGAAATGTGAAGGGATTTAATTTTATCAGGCTGACATACCTTCAAATAACATGAATTTGGTAAGTTTACAGATGTGATTTAATAAAATTGTATACATAGAAGACAAAAGAGCAATACAGAAAGATTAAAACTAAGATTTAATTTAATTTAATTTAAAGCTAAGACCTTGGAATAGTAGTGGAATTTTGCCCAGGTACATGGGTCCCTGCACTCACGTGGGAGACCTGGAAGAAGCTCTTGGATCCTGGCTTCAGTCTGCCATAGCCCTAGCCATTGCAGCCATTTGGGGATCGAACCAGCATTGGAAGATTTCTTTCTCTCTCTCTCTCTCTCTCTCTCTCTCTCTCTCTCATTTCGTGTGTGTGTGTGTGTGTGTGTGTGTGTGTGTAACTCTGCCTTTCAAATAAATTTAAAAACAAAAAAACTTAGAAAAAAAAACTTAGTTCCTTGTGCAGTCATTTCCCAAACTGTTCCTTTTAATGTATACAGAGAATACATGTAGGAAACTATATAGATGAATATTTCAAACAGTTCATGAAAAATAGAATTGAAAGATAGCCTATTTTAGCAGAAAAAAATGTTTAACCCCTGCATAATTTTTTAAAGATTTATTTATTAATTTTGAAAGACAGAGTTACAGAGAGAGAGAGAAAGATCTTGCATCCATTAGTTCGCTGCTCAGATGGATTTAGTGTCCAGGGTTGAGCCAGGCTGGAGCCAGGAGTCAGGAGCTTTAGGGTTTCGCACGTGGGTAGGCAGGGTCCCAAGCACTGAGGCCATCCTCCACTGCCTTCTGGGAGCATCAGCAGATGGATCGGAAGAGGAGCAGCCGGCACACAAATTAGTGCCCATATGGGCTGTCACAGGTGGCAGCTTAACCTGATATGCCACAACTGCATATGCTGCACCCCCTGCATAGCCTTTTTAATACACGCATTTTCCATGAATTTTTAAGACCTCCGGAATATAATAATTTATATACTAATCCTCAAATTTAAAAATTACATTATAGACACTTGATAAGAACTATAGTATATGTATCAGAGACTTAAAGCAAATGGCTAATCATACTACTGTATAGATAAATTAGTAATTGGTTTTCCTCTAGTTATTAAAACCTCATTGTTAAAGGCTCAATCTTATTTTTGAATTATTATCACTTGGGCAGAGATTTTATCTTCAATATGATCAAGATATGATATTTTCTTAAATGAACATAGAGGGGCACTTCACTAACTTGAGAGAGTAAATTCCTTTTAAGAATGATGGTGGGACACATTCACACACCCATAGATAATCACACAACATCCTTATCTATTTATTACTGCATTGTTCTGAAATCTTTACTTCTTCATTATTGGCTGTGTCAGAGAGCATCAATTTTATTTCTCCAAATGATTTCAATGTATTTCTTCAGACATTTTATATAATGAGGTTTTAACTATTATACTTGTTAATAATACAGAGAAAGAGCAGGAATTGAGGCTATTGCTCATATAAATGAAGTGAAAAAGTGAAAAGTTTAAGAGAGGTTGATCAATATTAAAATGAAATTCTTTTGCATGCTTTCTATGCCAAGTGAATTTTTAATGTATAAATCTTTAGTCTTAAAACTGAAAGATTTTGTCATTTGTTACTCAGCTGTGAATATTATCAGCTTGAAACATATACAACAACAACAAAAAAAAAACAGAAAAGACACTGCCTTACTGTTATTAGTTTGTTAAGACTGAATTAAGGCAGATCTTTCAATATCATGTAGCATTTTTCATATTTGCTACTGTATTGTCCTCAGAAGGTCTTGCTAGGAGACGAGGTTACTCTACCATGATGGCAGCTTGTAAATGTTTGACATTGGAGTCTCATAGAAACCCTCTAAGGACCATGAATGTACACTGGCTGCTGTATTGCATTTGAGACAAAAGGGAATTAATGGAGACTGACACGCGTAGAGACCACTGGCTGCTAAGAAGGATACGATCAGTGCCAGGAAACAGCACTGCACCTTTTATCATTTCTCCCATGATGCACCCTACTGACCACATGTCAACTGAAAACAAAAATGAAATGAATATAAACAAGAACACAGGAATAGAACAACAAATAAATGAAAACACTGGGTTGCCGTGCCACAGAGCAATATTCTGACCTTTCTCTGACTTGCTAAGAGGCCAGTCTTATGATTATTAGTATTCTAAAACAGTGAAGAGGGGAAAACAGAATGTGAGCGCCTTTGTATGCCGTATAACTCAACTAACAGTTCTACCCAATACCACCTAATGTATGATAATGTTACTTTGCAATTATAATTCAATGATTGATTTAGTTTCTGATTTAGAAGATCTAATTTGCATTCATCCAGTAGAGTCCTACTGATTTGTATTATAAATTATTCTAGATTGTGTTAATATGAGAAATATGTAAATTGGTTTCTTTTTTTATTCTTTTGTATGCCGTATTTGGAAAAAGAAAAAAGAGAAGTTGGGCTGCCAGCAACCTCAAAAGAGCTTCTTTTGTAAGACACATTTATTTTTATTTATAAATATGAATAACTTTTCAGAAGCAAAATGCCAATTCAATTCAAGAATGAATATTTTGGAATATACTAGCTCAGTTTCAGAGACTCCCATCAAAGAACATGTTTCTAAGCAGGAAGCTTTTTCTGGTTCTTATAAACAAGCTTGCTTTATAATGGTAAGAAACGCTGGCTTTCAAAATGGGATGCTTCCACTTGAAATAAACAACATGTTTGAAGGCTGACACTCCTGAGACTGTGAATCAAAACAAGCCTGGAATTCAAGGTGAAATTACCATGATTTGTCTGCTATTGCCAGTTATCATCCAGAACTTAAAACCAGGAAGTCAGGGTAGGGGGCACAGGGTAAGAAATAATATGGGGAAGGGCGAAGCAACAAAGTAAAATCTCTCTCTTGAACTATACTTGCCCGTTCTTCCTGAAAAGTCGGAGAGAGAGACAGGTCCTTTTAATGGGGGCCAAAAAAAGAAAAAGAAAAAAAAAATGGGGAAAAAAGGGATATTGGTGGGGAGCCAATAGGGGAGGGTATTAAGATAGCAGCACAATATATTTTGCTCCACTTACTTTACAAATTACATCTTGTAATTTGGCAGTGACCTTAGAGAATTCCTCATGAGAGTCTTTCTGGTCTGAAAATCTTACCCAGGTTAAACCCAAAGTTTCCACTGTTAGATTGAACACATAAACAGAATGATCACTGCAAAGGAATGGTTACAGCTATGAAGGTGATATGCATACCCAGAGAAGCAAATTTGTTTTGCTTCCATTTTAAGAAAGCAAGTGACATGCAAAAAAAAAAAAAAAAAATCTCAGGAAAAGATAGAGCAAACAGTTGTGCATCTCTTTTTTTGTTCAAGCACTTGTAATTTCAACAGAAACTGTCTCACAAGAGGTTGGTATTGTGAGACTCTGATTAAAAAAAAATAATGCCTGAAATCTGTTTAATTTTAAATTGTAAGTATTCTTATTATACTGTCCAAAATGACCAGTCTAAGTTGCTATTGACGGTGTATCTATTTTGTTTATATTGTAAAAGACTTAAACAAACAAAAAAATACAGATAGCTAAAAACTTAAAGAAAAGTTATTTTCTCTTGCCTGTCTCCATTCAAACAATTTTTAAAAAGATTATTTCTTCCATGAGCCTGTTTGGGACTTAGGGAACATCTATTTCTATTTCTTATTAGTAACAACAAAAAAATATTTTCTACAACACCTCTGGAAGATATTCCCCCCACACTTTTTTTTCTACTGCAGAATCAACTTACTAGCTGTGTAATCTTTGCCAAACTACTTCACTTCTCTAAACCATTTTTGTCCTCTAAAATATCAATAATAAAAAGTATTGTGTAGAATCTTTGAAAAGACTTGGAAGGATTAAGCCTGGTAAAGCCTCTTCCACATTCATTGCCTGGTATATAGTAAGTTCTCGATAAATATTAACTAAGTATCACGATATCCTAAATTTATACACTGGGACTTTATGTAGCAATTAAACATATGTGAATGTTTATTTTATATTTATGTTATATTATGTAAACAAATATTCGTAATTCTGAAATCTTTCCTATGAGGGGGAATTACCACCCACAAGGTAATCCATTTCCATTTCATGGTTGACTCCACTTAGAATACCTTCCTATCTGTTGAGCCATGGTTGAGCCATGGTTGGCTCTATAGGACTCTCCCCTTTCTCCACAAGAATTACCCTATTTCCCCAGTAATAACCTCACAATATATGATAATGATCTGCAGTTCCTAACCACTCCTCTCCTACAAACTGTCCAGTTTTATCTGTCAGACTAAAAGCCCTCAGTTTTTTGTATTGTTTCCTTTTGTTTTTAGTGTTCCTCAGATGTGCCCTTAGATAACCTGACTAGGATCCTAGTCCCCATGTTGCTTTCATCTCAGCTGGTTGATAGACAGTTGATAGCTTCATTTCTGGTACTCTTAGTGGTACATCTCCCAATTGTCTTTTGTGAGTTTCTGCAGGATACTCATATTCCAAAGTAAAAGGAGAACTTTTCAAAGAACTTCTCTTCAGGGTCAGAACTCATGAGTAAAAGTAACACACAGATATACACTCCAGTTCTGACCCTCTTGTAATTATTTTCATGCTTCTTTCTGCACAATAATACCCTGGGAACCTTTCCAATTCCCATTTTAACTTTGCTCACCATTCACTATTCCTAGACATTATCTAAGCTTGCATCAGCTGAGTGCTAAGCTTTGTGCCTGGAGATGATAAGTTCTGTTAGTATGAATTATAAAAGTGGAATAAATGCACATAAGTTTATGATGGACTTTTATGTGCTTAAGATAGGATTATTGCCCAAGATAAATCCATTATAACAACCAACAGGAAGTAGTTACTAAAAAAAATTGATTCTGCGTCTTAATAGGCAGGGTGGTGGAGGTCATGGTAAGCGTTCCCTTATACCAAGGTGCACATGTGGTAAATCTTCAACGAGTTCATGAAAGTGCATTTCATGAAAAAATGAAGCACAGATTTCAATTCTTTGCACCAGAATGCCTAACTTTTAATTCTATCTCTCATGAATTTGTTGAAGCACATACATATGTTAGACCAAACTACTTAAAGAAATTTTTAAGGTTTTAAAATGAATGCTGACTGTTCATGGATCTTAAGTAATTAGGGGCCAGTACTGTGGCCTAGTGGCTAAAGCTACTGCCTGCAGTGCCAGCATCCCATATGGGTGCTAGTTTGAGTCCCAGCTGCTCCACTTCAAACCAAGCTCTCTGCTATGGCCTGGGAAAGCAGAGAGGCGGGGGGTGGGGGGGAACCCCGATGGTTCTCTTCCAGATGGCTGCAACAGCCGGAGCTGTGCCGATTTGAAGCCAAGAGACAGGAAGTTCATCCAGGTCTCCCACGTGGGTACAGGGGCCCAAGCACTTGGGCCATCTTCTACTGCTTTCCCAGGCCATAGCAGAGAGCTGGATCGGAAGTGGAGCAGCCAGGACTCCAAGTGGCACCCATATGGGATGCCGGCACTGCAGGTGGCAGTTTTATCCACTACGCCACAGCATCAGCCCTGGAAACTGTATTTTTAAACTTCAGGAGATGATCTGTACAATATTTGGGCCTCCAAAAGTGTCCCATACACAAACATCTTGGCCTCTTTATGGTTCTGACTCATCACATTCTCCCTCCATCATTCGAGTCCCCAGGCAGAGTGGATGCCTTTGCAATTTTACCACTGATACTGAGTCACTAAGTATCAGAGTTACTAGAATGTGATTACTTATTTTATGAATTACAAGTTGAAAGTTGAAGTTTCCTATTTGTCATAAATTAGCTTCCTCTAAATTATGCCCCTTTTAGAGATAGACCAAATACAATCTAGGTCTGGCAGTTCTATCTAAAGAAAGTCCTGTATTGCTACTCTCACACCACTGACTGGCGTGGATCATGATCCATGATTAAAATCATGTATGGGCTACCACAGTATCTATCCAAGAACCTGGGAAATGTTTTCTGTCTAGGGGACTGTGTGGCTCATGTTACACAAGTTTTGAGACCACTCTGCTTTTCTCCTTAACATACCTAATTATATACTCATTTTGCAAAGAATCAGACAATATGCCTTTATGAATTTTCTTTCAACAATTACCTCAAAGTATAAGAGCAAGAGGCTTAACATAGTTTTCTAAAATCAGAATATTCCTTTGGAAATTTTATTTTGTATCTCAAAAGTTATAAATTTCCTTAGATATCTTATAAAAGTACATTCTTTTAAACTGTATTTCCCAGCTAGAATTAAATAAGACTTCTGATATGTGTCAGTAAATAAATAAATTTAAGAAAGATTAATAATAGTTCATGGAACAACAAAGCTAAATATTCTTATACCAGGAAATCAGAGGGAGATTTTTTTCCTTAAATCTACCATTAAATTTGCTTTTCTGTCTTTCTGAGAATCTCCAGTCCCCATGCTAGTGAGCACAGTCTCACTCATATTTTCACACAGTAGTTTTAAGAGAAGAGTAATAAGCAAACTAATGGGGAAAACATTTCCTTTTAAGCAAATTAAATGAATTCTTTTATTTTTAAACATATGTTCATGTTTATCTGAATTTTCTTCTGGATGTGATTGAATGACTACTGAATTTTTACATTCCACTTGATTTAAAAAATATTTCATATAATTTGACACAATCCTAAAGAACAGATTTAGGCCTTAGATTTAAAAGTTTATTAGGAGTAGACCCAAATCTAGTAGGAGAAGAAAAATAATTAAAATCAGAGAAGAAATCAACAGGATTGAATAAAAAAAAATTACAAAAAATCAGCCAAACAAAGAGCTGGTTTTTGGAAAAAATGAATAGTTGTACTTTGGAAATTTATATTCATTAAATAAAAGTTAAAAAATGATGAAAAAAAGTTTATTAGGAGGTAAGCACTGGTATTTCCAAGAGGTAAGAAACAATTAAGAAATATCTCCACACCAGACTGTTAGGACAACCCACAGCCTATAATTTTTACTTGCCATTCCT